AAACAAATAGTTCTTCCATGTGCCGTATCTCCTGTAGATTGATCACCCTCCTTGTTTTGTCCCTGGTGGGCCCTCTAGTGTTTTGTGTCCCTTGTGCAGTAGTGTAGTCTATATAGGCAGTTTGTGTGCTCTGTTACCTGTTGTAATCGATAGCAGTCAGCTTTATTCCCGTTCCAGCTGACATTGAGGCACACTGGAGCAATCTGTAGAAGCTTAGGAAGCCGGGGACCTGATCATTTTCAGCTCCTGGGCATAGTGCTGTATCCTGGTGGTCATATATAGCCGGCAGGTTCTAGGCTGAACCCCTTGCCAGCACCCACAGGAACCGCTGATTCCCACCAGCCTTTTGGAACGGTGTTGGGACAAATAGCCGATGTCCCAGCACCATTTTATAATGGTGGACATTTCTTAAGTGGTTAAAGTGTTTGTCTCTTGGATATGACAACACTGCTCTGAGTGCCAACAGGTGAAATCAACAGGTATTTTTTTCACTTGTTGTATATGCGCCTTATTGGTCTGCTAAATATACCATTAAATGTGTTCTGTTCTATCTGTTCAACAAGTTAATTGTTGGGGTTTACATACACTTAAGGAAAAAACATCTCAAATGCCTGTATTGGATTCCTGTTTTGTTATTTTACAATGATAAAGGTTATCTGTAGCCCAAACTTTTTTTTTTCCTGTTTTGCACTGAGTTTGGTTGAAACCTCTCTCCCATTGGGAAGATTTCCTTTCACTTCCGGCCTCGTAGACACAGCAGGAAGTGAGAGGAAATCTCTCCAAAGTGACGGAAATCTGGTTGTCCCCAGAACATCTGTCCCCATTGGAAGATTTGCTCTCTATGCCTGCTCCAGTGACAACCCCAAGTCTTTTCCCCTCATTTTCAGAGCCTTTCCTCAGCTGACTTTGAAAAAATCTTGTTAGGGTTGCTAACCACTGACCAAAATTGAAATGCCCCTTACATTCCTATAACCATTCTTGAAAGCTCAGGTACACTTATGGATGATAAATATGAAAACTGATGGCAGCAATATTTCCTATGGGGTGTAGTGGAAATTCCAGCAGCCTGCGCGGTCCCAGCTGCAAAGTTACCATGGATGTCTTGTGTGGGACAATCTAGTTTATTTTTAGCAGATCCGAGGCTCCTCTTATTTTGGTATGTACTATGCAGGGTTAACCAGACACTCCCCCCTAATTCTCTCCGCTGTGTCTCTTCTGGCTGGTTGTCCTGCAGTTTCGGGTCTCCCTGGAGACGCTCCCCGCAGGGGGCTTTTCACTTAGATTTAAGGGAATGCTTTAATTTCACATCTTCCTGAAAATAGCTCCATACCCATCTGCCTCAGTAGCACCAAACTGTAAATTGTCAAGTGTAAGAGACTTCAGCTGGTCCGGAGCAACACAGATTTGCATCTTTCATGTATTGGTGTCTGTACAAAAGAGCTGTTTGTGCCGCCTTACCAAAACCAATCAGATCTGGTCTCTTATATTTAAACCATTATTTTATAGGGAAGGCTTGGATCTGATTGGTGATCGTGGGGCAGTATGGATAATTGCTATTGATGGATTTGATGGTTTATCCTGGAAAACTTCATGTGTAAGACAGCACAGATCTGTGTGTCTGTGGACAAGCAGTAAGCAGCTCATACAGAACTTGTTCAGTTCTACCCGGGATGCCCAATGTACCAACCAGATATGCTGTGTAGAGGAAGCCAGTCACAGAGGGGGTATTAGATTATTATAGTTGTGCAGGGTTACGTATTCAGTATTTGCCCCCTTATCACTCCTGATGTCTTGAGTCTAATGTCCTGAAGAATAAGTTTTTACTAGGGATGCACCAATACTGGTTTTTCGGTATCAAGTACCGATATATTTTTTTTCGGTACTCGCCAATACCGGTACTGGAAGTCTCATTAAGGAAGCCAGGCGGCCTGTAAAGACTCGCCACCCGGCTTCCTGATTAGCAGGGAAGCCGTCTCCATGCTTTCTCGTCACCAGGTGATGAGAAGGCATAGAGCCGGATTTCTGGCCAATCGGGAAGCCCGGGCAGGTAATGACTCGACCTCCGGCTTCCTAATTGGGCAGTTTCCCGACCAATCAGGAAGCTAGACGGCCAGTACACGCTGCCCGGCTTCCTATTCCCAGAAGTTCGGGTATCGGATAGGCATGAGAGAATTTGGGCGAATACAAGTACTCGGCCAAATACTCTGTTTCGGCACAGATACCGATACTAGTATTGGTGCATCCCCTAGTTTTTACCACCCTGCCGTGACCTAACAGAGCCCACCCTTCCCCTCCGCAGATTAATTCTTCCCAAGATCTGGCACCTGGACCCTTCCATGTTTATATCCTAGGCAGTGCAGGATTTCCTAGAAATTATGGCTACAATTATGGTTATCGACTATGTCCCTGAGACATAACAAATGATTTGGTGGGATCTGTGACTTTTTTTTTTTTTTTTTGTGTGACAATGTCTCACTTTGTGCAACCAATATCGTGTCCAATGTCTCCCAACACTAGAGGGTACATAGCAGTGGCAAGTAACAGAGCCCCGCTGTTTACATTTCTCTCATCCATGGGGTTATCTGCACTTGGGCCCCTGACACCTCCGGAGCCTCCTTATTCATCACTGAGATCAGCCCATCATATTGAAGGATCAATAGGGGGTGGGGTTTAGCATAACTTTCACAAGATGAACCTATAGTTGCTTATATCTCTGGATCGACTGATCATTTTGGTACAGTTTCCACTGATGATAACCTCAGGTGATGTTATGCAATTTCAGAATCTGCTCGGTATGAGCTTTTTTAAAGCCTGCATGCTTTTTTTTTTTTTCTTCTTCTTCTTCTTTCTAGTTTTGGATGGAATGGAATGTCACTGGGCTTCAATGCAGGAAAAACTGTAAAACACCTGCACAATTTGTGGCTTCACAGTGCACCACAACACAGAGAAATCACATCTGTGCCTGGGTGCATTATAGTGCAGACGCATTGTTTCTTACTGTATGTGTACCTTGGGGTGTCATGCAAAATAAATGAGTGCACATCTAAAGTGTGTAACATTGTATTGCAGTACCACACATTTTCTTATTGCGATGGAGCCATTTTCTATTTGGCATCATCCAGGGTCAGAGATAATCTATGAGATGGCACAATCCTGTAAATCCTTGTACCTGCGCTGTTCTTGGCTGTGTTCAAAAATGGTTGATCTAGATCTGCCCCTGCCACAGCTTTTCACCTTGTCACTTGCTATAAAGTTCAAAGTTGCCATTTGATCACTGGAGTAGAGGAAATTCCATCAACTCAGCCTAGGTGAAGTAATTTGCTTGGAGCTCTAACCCTTATCCTAGTGGTGTATTTTGGTTTTCTGCTGCCCTAGGCAAGACTAAACTCTGACACCCCACCCCCAATCTAAATTTGCCCCACCCCTTCCTGTTTAAGACATTTTGCGCAACCTCTCAGTCGCTGGATACAGCCCGCACATTTTATTAATTTCAAAATAATATGAAGATACATACTCTTGTGTTGCTTTGGGGTGGTGGGCTGTGCAGGGTCTCGGGTGGCAGTGCACAAGGTCCCCATAATGCTGCCGTGAGGTCCCCAGCAAGCGTTGGACCTTACGGCAGCCGCTTGTGTTTAAAAGGCATCAGTATCAGCGCTTAGTACCGGGGCATTTTCACGAGTACTCATAAAAATGCCCAGTATCAACACCAGTATTGGTGCTGATACTGGGAATATTTTTTGGTGGCCCCCCCCCC